TAAAAAAGTTACGGTGATTAGTTGCGACCTACTTATAAGGTTTTCGTGACGACTTATTTTGGCGATTGCTTTAGTCGCCACGAAACGTACTGCAATATATCTACTTACAATTTATTTTTGGAAATTTTCTATTTTTTTGTATAGAACTTAGTCGCTAGAAAGCGAATTATAAAATATAATAATCTACAAAAAATTTGTGTAAAATAAAACTGAAAGTAATTTGAATTAGTCAATATTTTCTTTGAGAAAAGTAATAGTAAATTTGCGATAAAATTCTCATATAGCTAGGAATAGTAAATTTGCTAAAAGTATAGCTACATATAGTAAATATAATGTATATATTTAATGTGTCGCGTAATTTTTCCTAAATAAAAATAGGTTAAAAGGTTATGAAAATACATAACCTTGGGCAAAATATTCAGACACTGAAAAGTAATGTTTGATATTCACCTATATTATTCAGTTGGTTAACTAACCATGAAGTTGCTGGTCTCAAACTAACAACTCCTTAGAGGTCCCTCGCGCTCTAATTTTTCTTTTTTTTGATTTTCCGCCCGATGTTACATATCCTTGTCGGAGCATCGATTAATTCAAATTCGTACATCATAAGATTAATAAAGGAGAATCGCCTCCTACCAAGATTGTTCATTTTCAGAACTCGAACTAAAGGCTTCTGGTTAAGGGTTCTACATATCTTATTCATTCCTACAACTCTCGGTGATATAAAGATCCCTTGCTCAACGAACATAAGCAACATACAACAAGACATTTGTTTTTTTTTTTTGGTTTTCCTCCCGGTGTCCGGTACCCGTATTAGGGTCTAAATCCAGATTCGCGTCGGGATCGAAGTCCCACATTCAGTGACGGAGCTACAATTTTTATTAAGGGGTGTCAAAATATATAAAAGTAAACTGACGAAAAAAATTAAGGGGAGCCAACATATAGTGCATATGCATACAATTTTTTTTAACCTATCTACACAATGTATTTTTACCGTGAAGGGGTATGAGGGTGTCAACTACCCTTCGCTATAAGGTAGCGGCGACTACCCTTTGCTATAAGGTGGCTACGCTGCTGCCCATATTGGGAGGTAAAACGCTCCTTAACAATGACGATTTCATACCCAGGGCTCGAACTCGAGACATCTAATTAAGGATGAATGAGTACTTACCACTCCACCACTGCAACCTTTGTTGGTAAAAGCAAAGGAAAACTTCTGTTTATTATTAAGAACTTTCAAATGTTACAAAGAAACAATTTTACCAATATTTGACCATCGTACCATAGTACTGTTGGCAATATGTGAAAATACCATTTGTTACGCACATTCAGAGGCATGCCAAATATAAAATAAATGTGGAGTGGGTAGATATAAAATTAAAACTTTATAAACTTAGAACTTCAAACTTTTATATTTGATGTCAAAACCTATCCAATCACGTCCGATTGATCTCAAATTGTGTACACAAGTCATATTCGACATTACAGACATACTCCAACTTCCGGAATCGGAATTCGATCCCGATATCAAAAAGTCCACTTCCGATCAAACTTCTCAAAAACCTTCAAATTTCAAACTTTACCCAAATGACTTCAAATGACCTACGGACCTTCAAATCCACTTCCGATCGCGCTCCCAATACCAGAATCACTATAAGGAGCTATTCCCAGACTCGGAATCCAAACGGACATCAATATCACTGAAATACACTTCAAACCAAATTTATGAAATTCTTCCAAAAATGCTAACTTCCACAATAGGCACAGAAACGCTCTCGGGTCATCAAAAAACCGATCCGCACATACTCCCAAGTCCAAAACAATCATACGAACCTCCTTAAACCTTCAAATCCCGATTCTGAGGTCGTTTACTCAAAATCAACCCTTGGTCAATTCTTCCAACTTAAAGCTAATAAGAATTTTCTTTCCAAATCAACTTCGAACTTCCCGGAACTCAATTCCGACCACACGTACGAGTCATAATACCTGAAGTGAAATTGCTCATGGCCTCAAACTTCCTAACAACGCGCTAGAGCTCAAAACGACTGGTCGGGTCGTTACAGCGTAGGAATATCATTGCTTTGGCACGGTCTTGGTTTGGTGCCTGATTTTTGTCCTTGATGGTATCTGCCAGACCCATCGCATCAAGATGAATTTCGGCATCAAGCACCCAAGACATGTAGCTTTTGCCCGATATATCCAGGGCTACAAATTTAAGTTTAGAAATATTCGACATTATTTATAAAAAGAAAGTCCGTACCTCTGATACTTTCAAAGTATTTGCTCGAGATGACAGAGTCTCGTGCTGATAACGTGTTATAAAATAACAACTGTAAAGTAAATAAACTAAAAAAAAGTATAGAGAGAAACCGATATATTATTCAACTTTCAAAAGTGAGGTACATAATGAACTGAAATCTTCTTTATTTATAGAAGTAAAGAAGTTGTTGTGTAACCTGCTTGTAAGTTGCTTGTAAGCTGCTATTGTACCAGATATAAATAATCTCTTACCGGGGTAATATTTATCCATAACGGAGTACTAAATAAACATCTATAATATAATATATATTTATAACAGTTATAATTTTGTAGAGCGGTCGTGCAACAAAAATGCAACATAAGGAAACTTGTATTTCTTCTTCTTTTTTTTTTTTTTTAAGGAAACTAGTTAGAATCTTAATTTTCCTTCAATTCCTAAAATTATGTGCAAAGTTAAAAAAAAAAGCTTAAAAGGGTAATAAATATATCAAAGAAATATAAAAAGAACAGGAATACCCTATATACACTACAGTTTTATGGAAATTTTCCTTATTTTTCTCTCAAATTTCCTTATAAAAGTTTCCATATTTGTAAGAGAACGAAACCAGTTAGAATTTGGGTTTTTATTAATAACTTTCCATAAATTGCTTTTTAGCATGGCGGTGCGTTTTTTTCTTTTTTAAGGAAACTAGTTAGATCTTGATTTTCTTTCGAGTTTCCTAAAATATGCAGTAGTAAAAAAAAACAAACGTAATAACAAAAATGTAGAAATATATTGAAAAAATACATAAGAAAAAGAAAAGGAATACCTTATATACACTCAGAGGCGGATCTAGGATTTTAGGTTTATGGGTTCCTACAAAAATTGAGTTAATATATATTAACCGGATGAACGAACTGGATTCCAAGCTAAATATTCTTATAAATTTAATGAATTTTTCAATACAAAAACATATTCGGGACAAAAGCTACTGGGTTCATGGGACCCGTAACTAATGAACTGAATCCGCCTCTGTATACACTACAGTTTTATGGAAAGTTTTCTTTTTCTTTCTCTGAAATTTCCTTATAAAAGTTTCCATATTTTGTAACAGAACGAAACCAATTAGAATTAGGTTTTCATTAATAACTTTCCATAAATTGCCTTTTGCATGGAGGTGCGTTTTCTTCTTTGTTGCTTATATATACAATAGCTAAAACCCTAATACCGTTGTTAATTAATACCATTAATCATGTATAGTGGGGAAAAGACTTTGACAAGCATTCTGCTGCTCCTTAGTATTTTTATAATATGATTTGTTATTAATGAGCAGCAGTATGTTTGTCAATGCCTTTTCTTCCCACTATTTTCACCAACATTATATTATATGCTTTACACCATACATGAAGTCATGAAAAGGTATATATTCGTCTGTTTGTTTTTATTTTGATTTATGATATTTGACTCTTCGTATCTTAGATTATGTCTTTGATTATAATGTTTTTTTTAAAAAAATTCAGAACCAGTTTTTTAGCTTCTTGTTCTTCAATTCATGTTCTTGCCAGAATTCAGGATTTAAATTTTATAGGTTCAATTTTTAAGATTTTTAATATTGAACCCATTATATATTTAACGTTATGGGTTCAAATCTATTATTTTTACAATTCTAACGAATTTTTACAGATAAATTTCTACTCCACGTTGAAAGTTATGGGTTCAATTGAACCCGTAACTCTCACACTGCATCCGCCTCTACTTCTTGCCTTTTTCTTTTATTTTACCCTTATGGAAAAATTATAGGGAAAATATTGTGTTTCCAATTAATTAACTTCAATGTTACGTTCTCTCTCTCTCTCTCTAAATCATATATAAGTAATCCAAATTTTAGTGATCAGTTCTTTCTTTATGTAAAGTTTTTGATGCTTTGTTGAATGTTTTGAGCTGTGTATTTAATCTTGATTATTTAGGTGTTGTCAAAACCTAGAAGGTTAGAATTAGGGCAAACGAGATGTATTTGTTTACTTTTTTCCTATCCTTTGTTTCTTGATCTTTTAGCCGTTTTTTTTTTTTTTTTTTTTTTTTTTTTTTTTTTGCTTTGTTTAATATTAACCGAGAAAATTTTAAATGGAGAAACATGTGAAATAACGATTCATATAAACTACCCTAATTTTTTCCAAGAGAGCTAATTAATTCAGGAATGTTTAGCTGACAAATTAATTAGATTACACGATTTTGGGCTAAAAATTACCACATTCAAAAGTAAATTGCTATAGTGGCCAAACTAGTAAAATTCTTTTTAAGAAGAATAAACTTAAATAGCCACCTTTCCAATAGCTTAAATTAAAAATAGCCTGCAGATATATAACACATGTATAATTCATATATAATATATGTATAATCATATAATCTATCTATATTAGCTATAGAAAAAAGTAAACAGTAAATTGGACCGGCTGTTCGTATAAAGGTCTAACTTTTAACACAAACCCAATGATTTATTTAGCATACATAACGTGCTTGGTAATTACTATTCAGATCACAAGTACAATATCTACATAATGGAAGAACAATTATAAATCCTACATCAACCTTATAATTTTTTTATCATCTTGAAGTGTCAGTCTTTTCATTCTCAATTAAACTTTTCGTTTAATAAAAATGATGTTTGTACCAGCTTGCACACATCTCGAATAATTTCACGTAATACCTCCCACCATCATAGGTATCGAATAACTCTGTCCGTTAAGACTTGAACATCTTCTCAATTAAGCTTGAAAAAGGCCATTAGAGGATCATATACAACTTGTTTAGTATTAATACCAAAAACAAAGTCAGCATGTGCATAATCTTCTCTGTATTGCAGCACAAGTTTGTCTGGATTATGACCTTGCAATTTATTTAGCAAAGTTTTCACATCATTGACATCAGAAAGATAATCTGCCCCTCCATAGCCAAAGAAAAGAGGGATATTATTTGGGATATTTGCCATTATATATTCAGGTGGATTTGGCTGACCATAGTGTTTGTTGTTTTCTTCTTCACTTCCAAAGTCATATTTTTCTATGGTCCCTTTTCTTGTCACTGTCCAAAAAAAACATATAAATTGAAACTCCATTGAGAAACATAAGAAAAAAGAGCATTTAAATGTGTTTGGGGCGACAGAAGTCATTTTTCATAGAAAAAACGGTTCTCTAAAAAATGGAATGATAACCAAAGGCGGAGCTAGGGCTTGAAGTTTATAGGTTCGGGACTGCAGTTCGTTTAAGTTACTTGGTTTCTAAATTAATTAATTTATACATATATAATAAATTTCTTAAGACAAATATAGAATTTGGACCAAAGCTACTGCATCCGGTCGAACCCGTATCCCGCATGCTAGCTCCGCCCCTAATGTTAACTCGGTGTTTAGTTGATGAGTGAAAAGTATTTTTTTGAGAAAAGTTATGTATTAAAGATTAATAGTATTAGCAATTCGGAGAATTTTTTTAATGAAATTTGAGTAGGAAGGATTAATAATAATGTCTAAGTTGTTAGTTGTAGCAAGTAATATGAAGTTAAAACAAATATTATAGTTGTAAGAAAAATGATTTTCATTCATAAGTAATGAAAGAAATCATTTTCCCCTTAGAAAATGCTAATTGGTAACTAAACACCAGAAAACGACTTCCTTAGAAAGAAAAAAATTCCTTGAAAATGACTTCTGTCGTACTAAACGCAAATTAACAAATAATATGTATTTATTACAATTACTTTGGGCAATGTGGATCATGTTTTTTGTTGCTGTTGCCTGTGGTTCATGCTCAAGAAAAATATCAGTTCTTGAAGAGTTTACACAGCAATTTGGACCTATTGTCACGAATAATAAAGACGACGACAACAACAGTAAAAAACTCAGTATAATCACATAAGTGGGGTAGGAGAAAGGTAATGTGTCCGCAGATTTTACCTCTATACCTTGTGCAGGTAGAAAGGTTGGTTCCGATAGTTACGAATATTAAGAATTACAAAAGGAAAAAATCCAAAGAAAATGGAAAAGAATGAATTGTTGAAAAGTTGAAATACCAGTGAAAGAAGTCATTAAGTCACTGCAATTGTTGCCTGGATCTTGACAGATTTTTTGCAATAATTTGACAACAGCATCTCTGTTTAACTCAGCCATAAGTGCAAATTTCAAATTAATTTAATCAACATGAAATGTCTTTTTAATGTGAGATAAATACCTATAAAGAAGCCATATAAAGGTTATTTGTTTATTTAAAATTGTAACACGTACGTGAATATTATATAAGGTAAGTTGCTGACGTGACTATACTATATATTTTTTACATGTCAAGATTTAGCTTTTCTGTGCTATATGAGCATAGTTGCGTTATTTGTCCGTTTTAATTTATGGCTTTTGTGAATAAATTTAAAGTTTTGATGCCGATCCTAAGCATAAAACAATTTTTACCTATATATTCCATGACAACATACAGAAGGAAATTTCGTCGTCGTATTAACCCCTGCATATTTTTCGTTCTCAGTAATCTTCATGAAAAAACTACCATATTTCCCAACGAATCGAGGGAGAATCGAGACATGAAAAACTTATGTATCATAAGAGGGTGTGCGTTGCTCCCATGGACGACAAGATACAGGAAGCGAAGTTTAGATGGTTCGGGCACGTGAGGAGGAGAAGCTAAGATGCCCCAGTTATGAGCTATGAGCGGTTGGTTTTAGTCGGTACGAGAAGAGGTAGAGAGCGGCCTAAGAAGTATTGGGCGAGGTGATCAGGCAGGACATGACGCTACTTCAGATTTCCGAGGTCATGGCTCTTGATAGGAAGGCCGATTTGGAGGTCGAGTTTTAGGGTTAGTCGAGCATTTTTTCTCTCTCTTTGTACCGATTAGTCTGATAGAATTTTGTTTAGGATTGCTAGCGGGTTATGTTGTGTGCACACTATTTTTCTCTTTTTGCATAGTATTGGGTTATTACCTGTCCACTTATTTGTTGTCTCGTTCGATTGCTGAGTATTATTTTTCTGGTTTCTTCTGTTGTTACCGATTTATTTTTTGTTCTTTTATGATATTATTGCCTCGTCTATTGAGCCGAGAGTCTCCCGAAAACAGCCTCCCTACCCCCCCCCCCCCCCCC